TTTTGAGCCTCTCAGAAATTATTTGAAATTCGTGTTACAGACAACATAAAATAACGGCATCCAACACACAAGTCACACGACCACCACCAACAATTTGACTTTAGGTTTCCTTTTACAACGCTGGTAGCCTTGATATATAAAACAATTTTTTAAAAAAGCTCACCTTAACCTGTATCTGTTGTACTTCAAGCTCCAAGTTGTTTCATTTTGCCGCCTTATCACCTATCTTACCGTAGTCGTGAAGTCCGCTGGAATGTGTGTGTTGGAGGTGCGTGACAGCTTTCTGGTAATTTCTTCATCCCTCTGTTTTCTCTCATGCTTTCAAGTTAACATCTCATGTTTGTTAAAAACTTTGAGAACCCTGGACCTTAAAAAAGCCGTCTATAAAACAAAGCTCGGTAGTTTAACTGTCAACAAAGCAAAGTTGCTTGCTCGTGGATCAGTTCACTTCAAGTAATCTAATTTGCATAGGAGTGTGCCAAGGGTCTACTTCCGGTGCCGAGTATACACGTGACGAGCTTCACCGACTTTCACCAGTTACTTCCAGTACACTGAAGAAGATTCATCTTTTATACTCCTCCTTCTTCAAAAATACTGCCGTTGACATTATTTTACCTGAGAATTATCTTTAATATTTTGACATTTTAGGCATTTGATTAACATTATCGAATTAAATTTAGTTTAATTTGATTCAACCGTTCATTCCCACTTGACTAGAAAAAGATCTTTGCAAAAACACTGTTTGTGTGTGCTCTTCTTCGATGAAGCTATGGAAGGTTCGTGCTCCTTCGAGTCATTAGTAGGTACTCTGTGTTCGTTTGATAGAAGGAATAAGCAGAGATCAACTGAAATTGTTCCTTTGTCGCTGTCAAACTATTAAGGACGTCACTGGGCATAGGTCGACATGGTCTCTTTCTGGTATTGAAAGCGAAACAGACTTTATTTTAGCTCAGAACTGACCAGCCAGACCATTCCCGTCGCAATGATAATTTCCCTTTTAATCAAACTCTTCAGCTAGATCAGTCAAATCCGAAATAGTATGCTCGAAAGAGAACGTTTTTCGGCAAAACTCAGGCAAAGGTCCAGCCGGCCAGTTCTGACAAATGGAAAGCGCCCTAAGTTCCTTTAATATATCCCCTTTTCATCGTTCTGAGCTCGGTATTGGATGGCGACGGAACAGTTATTCCAGTTCGTGCAAGTTCCAAAGGAAAGCACCAATCACATAGTTGAAAGAAGAGGGAAACCTGTTAAAGCCGACAAAAGAGTTAGAGGAAGAACATTTCAGAATATAATGATCTATCAGCAAACCGGTATCCTCATTCCTGTAGGTTCAGCTTCTCTTGGTTTATTCACTGTATTATATTCTAATAAGTCACTTAGATTCAATCCACGAATACTAGCTGTATAAAGTTTATTATAGTTGTCAACTCTGTTAGATAACCCAGTCTCCCGGGTACGGCACCAATCCACCTAATCTGTCCGATAAAATAAACCTTTCACTTTTTCTCTTAGTTTGAAATTAAACCCGATTTCCCCCAGAGTAAATATATATATATATATATATATATATATATATATATATATATATATATATATATATATATATACTTGTATTCTGGGTAGAACGTATTCCGTAGAGCGCTCAATTCATCATAGTCCAGTTCTGATGGCATTTGTTGTTGTCGTTTCATTTTATTTATTTATTTATTTATTTATTTTTTTACATTTACTTCAAACGACTGACTTGTTCCTCATTCAAGACAACGTGTGGGGAAATGGCGAATGACGAAGCCATTGATTTCAAGCTCAGTAGCAGATGCGCTTGCAGAATGTTACAAGAACGCAGGACACTGGGGATCACGAAGAGAAATCTTATCTATTAGCTAGGGACGGACCAGTAGAAGAGTTATGGGGGGGGGGGGAATTTTTGAGCCGCGGAATTTTTTTTTCCTTAGCAAATTCGTTCATGAATTTCAGTTTTAGGCCGTAGCATTAATATTTTTTAGGGTTAATTGGCGTGCATGAATTTTTTTCATTTAGTTTTCCCATGCGCGAATACATTTTTTTTGTACTTCCCCCCCGCCCCTCCCCAAAAAAATGTATGTTTCAATTCACGAAAAGTGGCATTTGGCACAGCAGAAATTACATTTGTCATTTATCAAGAAGGCACTCTGAAATACCGCACGTGCAGGCCAGGATTACCCACGTGCAGCCAACAACTGGAAGTTCCATCTGTGAAGATGGGAAGAAAACATGTACACAATTTTTTGTTAAGACATCTTTTGATTTGATAATGCCGACGTCTCGAAGCAATGAAAATCTTCATTGAGGCTACCAATTAAATTCTTCATTTTGAAAAATTTTATATTATACGCATGTTGTACGTTTGCTTTTCGACTGTTTTTAGCGGATCCAGACCCTAGGCCCCGGGATCTTGACTGCTATAATCTAATATTACTGTTGACAGTAATTTGCATACCGAGTCACAAAACGTTCGCATGGGCGCTTTATCCTTCAGATTGGCGCTTCCTTCTGAGGAGTCCAGCAGCATTTTGAGACAATGTTGTTGACAGATAAGGAAGAGATAGTCTAAGAGGGTTTCCTACGTGTTTACTAAGCGAACTTCGTTAGAAAGCATGCGTGTTGGTTATGAGTCTCAAAAAGAGTTTAATATAGAATGGCAAACTTGAACAGATGGCAACGCAGGGCCGTAGCCAGAAAAAAAATGAGGACTGAGGCAATATCCATCGTTGAATTCCCCTCCTACCTATTCAGGGTCTTTATGATGACTACGTTTAAACAAAACACTAATCAAACCTTAAATGACTGAGGCAGGTGCCTCGGTTTGCCTCATACTGGCTACGGCCCTGCAACGGGAAACATTTTAGTACATTTTGCCGTAAAACTAGACCTGAAACAAAGAATAGGGTGAGTACTTTAACATTTAGAACTTTGTGCGTGAATATTACCAAGACTTTTTCGGAGAGACGTTTCATGACCTTTGCCTGGTCGACTGACGATGGTCACGCACATGTTAAAGATGACGTTACTTTATGTTGTCTGTAAAACGATTTTCAAATAATTTCTGAGAAGCTCAAAATGATTTCCCCAAAATAATTTTTGCATAACATAATAGTTTGATGCCTGTAGTGTATTTCCCTTTAATCTGAAAAAATTCTGATCAAAGGCACATGATGAAAATCGTCGCTGTTTTCAACGACCTTTCGTGGCTAAACATCAGGCAGTCGTACGCTTTAGCTTTTTTATAATTACTCAGACTGTTGTAATGCTAAAAATATTATATATTTTGATCAACGACGAGTTAAACTTAAAATTTTATCAATGAGTTTTTTTCCTAGCGCGGCTGTATTGGAACGCGAGTCGAGCGAATCATGATGAATTTCAACCCTGTTTTTGGCTTGCGAAATCGACGGTGGGGCTTGAAACGGTTTTTTTCGTTTTTCTCGGAAACGAACAGATCTTTCGAAGAAAAAACTACATAGCGTTTGTATACTTACCAATGTCTACCAGTCTGCAAAAGAAGAGCGATTTTGATTTTTTCAGCCTTGCCACGAATCGGCGATTTTGGTCGATTTTTGCATGGATTCGCTCTTAAGTTCGGCACGGCAGAAGCACGACGTATGAACTAAGCCATATACAGAGTCAGCTAACTTTAACTTATCTGGCACTTTATGACACGTAATATTATGGCTTTCACGCACATTCCTTCACTTTATGTGCAGTTTGACATCCTATAATAGACGTGTTCTGTTAAGGACATCTCCAAATAAAGATTTTTTGTTCTTTATTTAAAGGAAGTTTTATTTCGTAAGGTTTAATCTCTTTATCAAATTAAGGGGTCAATTGGAAAGAAAGATACAGGAGAATACCTCTAATTCGAACTTCCATGGGAAACAAAAAACAGCACGACTTAGTGGAGGTGATAGTTAGCAGGTGTTAATTAACTGAAAATTGGGACAAAATGAAATTTAAAGTAAATTAGCTTAAGTTAACTCGAGGGGAGTTCCAGGTAATTATAAACAAGTAAGAGATAACATGTTCTACTGTATTTAAAAAAGATCACACATACCATTTCATCTGTCGCCATTTCTCATTAAGCTATTATTCAAATGGGTACCTCACATCAAGTGCGTCATAACTGACTCGAGCATACATATATTTTGATTCGTTCCAGTCCTGCATCGGAAACAGGATGGCCTAAAGGTCCTGGGGCCCGTTTCTAGAAAGTCCCGATAGAAAGCTGTAGTTGTTTACATTCAAGACAGAAGTTTCAAAAGTTTTGCTGACTCCATAAGAAATCTGTAAGTTAACGAAACAAAATTGACTTGGTTCGTTAGCTATGACCCTCCGCTTTCAATTCTTTAGATTTTAATTTACCGGGACTTTCAAGAAACGTACCCCTGGCGTTAACAATACCATTACGTCATCTGGAGTTAAAGCAAATACTTGACTTCCACATTCTGTATAATATGACGATGCAATTATCAAAAACACTACTTCTAATAATCTGACACAGTTCTTTTTTATAAGCCTGCCAAAGTACTATTAGTTCAGTGTTGGCGATAAAAGTTAGTCATCCAAGAAATTCATCTACCTAGGAAACAGTAAGTTACTGCAAGCGATTTCAGAGTACAACAATTTCAAAAACGTTTTAGGAAAATTCCAGAAAAAGGTTTCCGGTAATTTTCAGGAAAACATCAGATAATGTTATACTTGTTTAAAACCTGCACTTTTTTCATCAGTCTCCTAAAAGAGCGTGTAAGTAAAAAAAAGACTGACAGATACTTAGAGCCGCTACATTCGTGGCTTACAGCCATTATTCACTGAAAAATAATTTAAAACTAGAAAAATAGGGCATAGTTAAATGCAGTTTAAGCACTTACAGTGTATTACCAAAAGGAAATTATAATTATGGTCCTTCGTCGTTCTTCTATGTATTCAATTTTTACTTTAAAAGCGACACATTAGGAGAGTTTTCCCTATCCGTCCTGGTTTATTTTTATTCTCTCTTGAAAGAGCGCTTCGAGTTCCTCGTCCATTGCTTTCTTTATTTCCTCTTGTGTAGGAAAGAAACCCATCTCTTTAAACTTCTTGGTAACTTTCTCTTCAATTAACTTCAAATCACTGTTCTTTAGCCAATCCAGCATTTCTTTCAATTCCGCTTTGGCTTCCTCTACGTCTTTTTGTGCTGATTTCATCTGCTCCTCTCTCAGCTTTTCCATCATTCGTGTAGAAGGTATCGCTAAAGAAGGCTCCAATCCTTTCCTGGCACTCTCGAAAAAGGCATTCACTACTTCATAGAATGCCTTATCAGGAGAAAGATCTTGAACCTCTTGCTTTACGAATGTATTGAATTCTTCCTCTTCCGGTACTTTCCGATTGTCGCTTTCACTACTGTCGAGAAACCACAGCGCGCAGAAATTTCTTGCAAGAATTGACTGGTAAGCATACAATGAAGTATTTATTACCCTGAGCATGTCGATGTTATCGCGCTCCATTGAGGAAATCTGTTGTAAACTTGCTACAACATCTTTGCACTTGCCGACAAAGACTGAGCGAACAGCACTTGAAAGCTTAATGCGATCTTCTTTCGAGAGGAACTTGTCGTCCATTTTTGCGAGTTTCTCTTCTAACTGCAGCCCAACATTTTTAAGATACGTTTGGGACTGAAAAGTTAGGGACTGGAGCTTTCTTAACAAGTTGAATGTCTTTGACAAAATATTGCATCTTACTTCAGCAACTTGAACAGCAGCTTCTTTCAGTCTAGACGGGTCTTTGTACATCAAGAGATTACTTTGTGGCATGATGTAATGAGGCAAATGACGCGACTCCAAGCACTCTTGAAGGCGATCCAACATGAACAGCAGACAGCTTCCGGAGTTGTCCTCTCGCCAGAAGACCTGACCTCTCTTCTCACACTCCCAGAACAATAGAATCTTCAAGTAGTACGTCGAAATAACTTCAGGGAAATAAAATTTCTTGATCGTCTTTAGCAAAATAATAACATGACGTTGCACGGGTGACATACTTTCCCCGAGTTTATTTTCGGCCAAGGAAAATGAGGTACGCCATTCGGTTTCATCCATCGCCCACTTCTCGCAGCTGTCTTCCGTCGCACTGGGTAATGTAGAGTTGGCCCGTGTGGCCTCCGGGTTTCGACAGTATTTGAATACATCAACGGGCTCTTCAAGCCGTTTTCCTCTACCAACGGGAGCTAAATGGCAACCGGATTCGAATATTTCCTGGACCAGTTCAGATGAAGGCCAGCCACTTGGGCGTGGTCTGCTCAACCATTCCATAGCTGGCTTGGGCCAAGCATCCGGGTACTTGAAAACAGCGGCGTCATCCTCCTCGTAGTTTGTAAACCCACCACCTTGAAGTTTACGTACAGGCCCATGAAGACAGTACGTCCACTCGCGAATTTCCCCGTCAAATGTCTTTGCAGTCTTACCAGCCAAGGCATGATCTGATGAAGGCAACAGAAATGCATGATGAAGGTAAGAAACGTTCTTATAACGAGGGCGATGATCTTTCCATTCGCTTGTCAGCCTTAGCTTTGCGTACATCTCATCGTCTTTTGCGTGTTCCGCAGTGAAGATAGGTATCATCTTGTTATCATTGTTCTCTACAAAGGGCTCATTTTCTGTCATTTTGTCCAAGTCTGGCGTCCAGCGTTCCTTTATAACAAGTGTAGTGGCCGTGGCTTGATCAATATTACTTTTCCTGAGAAGAAGCTGAGGTATGCAAAATCCTTCAACTTGACTTCCAGTATCTTTAACACGTTCGCTTGGACTTGCCAGAGATTCTGGATCTGCACGCCTTGCAATACTTCTTGTTTGGCAAAAAATCCAATCTGCATACACGTATTCCACTGGAAACATGCAGTTAATAAGTACTGAAAATGGCTGCAGCCAAATGTTTGATTTTTCATCGAAGGCTAGTGAGAGCACCTATTAGGAAAACGAAAACAAGTATCAGGTTATAAAACTGTTCGTGCCACCGTTTTTTACTGTGCTAGAATTTGGGAACACGGAGTTTTTAATGATGATGATAAATTATTTTTGTTCATTTTTTTCTTTTCCAGAATGAAATTGGGCATATAGTCTTAACTTGATCGCAAAAGAGGAGGAAAAATAAGTCACTTTCCGAGATGTAGAGTAAATGCAAAGAGCGAAACTAAATGAAGAAGTGGGAAGGGATATAAGGGTATATTTTCATTCAAATTGATCAACCAAATTGTGATCTCATGTTGCGTGCATCCCTACACAAACGGTATTGGGATCGTGGTTCGAAACAGGCGGTTCAATTACATTTTTCACAAATCAGAAATCGTATCAAATTGTATCAAATCAAAAAGTATCCAAGGGCGGTTTCAGATATTCTTGTCCAAAGTTTCAGTGCTTGCGCATTTTCCAGAACCGTTGTCGCGAATGCGAGATTAAATGTCAAATACATAGGGAGTGGTTACCCAGTCTCCCGAGCCGGAGACTCATGTTAAAAGTGATTGACAATTAAAAACTTTAGAAGGCTAAAAACTCTAAAATAGGTTGCTGCACATTGATATATAGATGAAATTGATAAAAAGGGAAAGCTAATTGAAAATGCAAATATAAGAATCCCTAGACTATGTTTAAAATACTAAAAAAGAAAAAATGTACACAAATAATTAAGAAGAAGTATCAAATGCAGTTAATGAATTGACATCATATCCAGTAAAATTTTGTTTCTTTAAAAGCCTACGAAAGGATGCAACATCCTGTCCATGCTTTACGGATGCTGCATGGTAGTCGGTTTCATATACGGGATATAATAAATGAAAAAGAACCATGAAGGAACTTGCTATTATACGGGCTTTGTTTCTCGTTTACCCCCACTGTTTCTAAGATTGTAAGGAGTGATGCGGGGTTTTAATAAATTGCCTATATAGCGAGGACCATCCTCCTTAAAACACTTAAAGAATATTGTCGAAGATTGTTCGATACGTCTATGTTCAAGAAAATTTATGTTCGCAATTTTAAGGAGAGACTCATAATCAGAATTTTTTCCCCATATTCACTATTTTTCGTAAACCGTAATGATTAGCATCTTCTAATTTCTTGTTGAGTGTCTTGTTAACGTCGATAAGTAACGAATTACTATGCGACAAAACAAAGCTCTTGTAAAGGACCAATAAAATATTTGATGGTACTAAGAGTTTAGGGCGTCCAAGAGCAGTTATCTTAGCGTATGCTTTCTTCAGCAAAATATTTATATGTTCGTTGAAAGATAATTGATTGTCCAAGTGTTCCCCAAGAATCTTTATTAAGTGTTCTTTGAGACTGATGGAGGAGCCATTAAATGCTTTGTTATAAACGTAGGCGAGTTTTCAAGGATCATCCCTTTCGTCTTGTCCCCATTGGCCTGAAGATAATTGTAGTCAAGCCAGGATGAAATACTTTTCATGCCTTTATTTAAGGTGTATTGAAGCAGAAATGGGCTGTTGTCCACCTCGTATTGGGTAGTGTCGTCTGCGTAGAGGCGGAGTGACGAGACGGTAAATGTTTCGTTCATATCATTCATAAAGTTGTTAAACAGTAATGGAGGAAGAAGACTACCCTGAGGGACACTACAGCGTAGAGGTAATAAGGTAGAGCTTGAATCGTTGCATATTACCCTTTGTTTTCCGCCATGCTAATATGATCTTATAAGCTGAAGGGCTGCCTCTTGTACGCCATATGCCTTTAATTTTGCAAGGAGTAAATTGTGGCAAAAACGGTCGAAAGCCTTTGATAAATTGATGGCAGCCACACCCACTTCTTTCTTTTCGTCGAGAGCGTGTCTCTAATCATCTGTTAATTTGATCAACGCTGCAGCGCAAGAATGTCGCTTGGGAAAGCCCAACATATTAGATGAGAAAGTTGTTGTGAAGGAACTGTACAGTTGATCAAACATTACTTTTTCGAAAAGCTTGGAGATTGCGGAGAGGACACTGACAGGTCGATAATTGCTTTTGTCTGTCGTTTCACCCTTTTTGTGAATAGGGGTGACATTACTCATTTTTTATTCGCTGGGCACGGAGGGGGTACTTTTGCGAATATAGTGATTAAACAGATTGGCTAGTGGTGAGGCTATGGATGGAGCCGATAGTTTTATGATCTTTGGGGAGAAATCGTCAGGACCAGTAGATTTCTTAGCATTTATCTTTAATAAGTAATATGTTGCTTGATCTGTCACGGCTTCCGTAGTGATTTCCATAAGAGCAAAGTCTAGTTGGTACTATTTGCTCCTAATTGTTGTAATGCTCAGGTGGTTATCAAAGTCATCTTCCGTTAAACTTAACGCCGATTCCTGTTTTCTTGGGTTCACAAAGAAGTCATTGAGTGCAGTGCTGGGATTAGCGTTGAACGTTGAACATCAGCGTTGAACTTATTGTTTGGAAGAAGTGCTTTCAACTTCTTTTCCAGAATTCGCCAGGGAATGATGTTGTTGAGGCTGCATCGTTACCGAAATCTTTAACTGCTTTTCTCTTTAGCGATGTAACTTCGTTCCGTTTTTTTTGTTGTTGTAAGTTTAACTTTGTTGATGCACGAGCGAATTTCTTATAAAGTCTATTACGTATGCGGATCTGCTTTTGAATGTCTGGGTTAATCCACGGCAGTTAATTATTACCTAACGGAGCTGTACTCGTTTTACAGGTGCATGCTCGACAAGAATCTGTTTAAAGAGACTAGACCAGTGCGACCAGATATAATCAATGTTGTCATAGACTTAAGAGCTGTCCCAAGGAACGTTTTTAAGATCAGAGGAAAGTATTCATATCCAAATTTTTCACTAATCTAAGCTCTGTTGCTCTTGCTTTAAGTTTGGGTAGCTTTTGTTTTCTCACGACAAAGATTAGGTCGTGACCACTGATCCCAACGTACAGAATTCCACTTGTCGATAGTCTCTCGGGATGAGATGTTAAGACGATCTCTAGTAATGTACTCGAATAATTAGTCGTTCTCGTAGCCTCCTGAATAACGTTCGTTAGGCAGAATTGATCAATAAGGTTAGAAAGGACTTTATTAGGGACGTTCGGGTTATCGGTGGAACTTCAAGCATGTTCATGTTAAAATCCCCGTCGATAAAAATTATTTCTTTACATTTAGCGTACATTCTCTCTGCTGCTGACGAACAGGCTGGAATGAAATCCATAAAATTGCAATTACTAGGAGAGCGATATCAGAAACCAGTTATTTGCACTTGTTTTTACATCTAAACAAATGGATTCAACGCTTATTGTGGCTCCACAGAGGTTTGGCCGTCATTAAGCCGTTATATTGGATCTTATGTACCTCCTCCTTTCCTTCTATCTCTTCTAATATTTCGATATTGCGAGTGAGCGAATAAACAAGAAGAGACAGTACCATCAATCTTGCTTTCGCTGATGAAAAGAATGTCAAAAGCACAGTTGTCGAGTATGATTAATAACTTCGTCCGATTTGCCATAAATGCTATTAACATTTAGATGGGCAATCTTTAAGTTATTATTGTAATAACCGTTTATATTGCAATTGAACCACTTCATAGAAGAAAGTTGATCCCCTTCATGGTCAATATTCACAACAGCATCGACGACATCAAGAGATTTGTCAACAAGACTATCGTTAAGAGACGAGATAGTTCAGCCAAAGAACATCTCTGACATAGCCAGGAGTGAATTTTGCTCACTTTGGGCATAGAGACGACAAAAGGCTGAGATTTGATACAATTGGCATCTTTACATGTATTGCATATGTATTGATGTTGGTTTATGGTTTTTTCCACTACAAAGTTTCATCAGTTTCGGTCATACATTTTTCTTACATGATAGCCGGGACAAGAGACCAAAACAAAACAGCAGCATTTGACGTCATAAAACGACATTCACAGCAATAAGAAGCCAAGAGCCACTAAGAGCCGTCAACCAAAGAGACTTTTTAGGTGCGTTGTTGCAGGGATTTTGCGCTTATTGGGTAGATATGTATTGCGTATTGTATTTTCTGGCATTTGATTGGCTCAGATCAGCTGTCCTATTTTTCTTAAATAGGCCGTTTCTCTCTTTGTGAAGGAAAGTAGTATTTGAAACTATCCAAATTAATCCTTAACTGGACAGTTTTAAAAACTAAAGGATAATAGCTTTGCTGACAATTTCGGATTAATTTCCATGCAGCTATATAATTAAGAGGGGGGAGGTACATAATAGGGAGGAGGGAGAAATGGCCCGAAAAAGTAGGGCGGAGGGAGAAATCGGGGCGAAAATGTAGGGAGGAGGGAGAAAATGAAATGTTGGGAGTAGGGAGATTACATGGCTTTTCTTTAACTTGCGTCATGACAAGGCCGGATGGGGGGACAGAAAAAGTGACGTACACTACAACCGCCTTAGGTCTCCTGGGACTCCCTTGGTCGGACTTAACCAAGAAAGCATGGGATCAAACTTTGACGCATCTCAGGTTACCAGGTTTAAAACTTGGTGACGACAGTCGCAACCCACAACTCCTTCACTTAGTTGTAAAGGAAGTTCTCTGTCCTTCAGAGCTTCGCTCTAACTAATAGCTGGTCCTTAAAGGATTTTCCCTTGCGATATGATATTCCTTAAAGATTTCTCTTAGCCGTCGTTGGTTTTGTATAAGGTGGATTTTCCCATAGTATTTTCTTCAGTCTAAGTGAAACCGCTATTTTGTAACAAATGGTAGTGGCTTTTTACGTGCAGATTTGTTGCTCTATTGAAGGGCTGTTTTCCTGTCGGCTGATTTTAACTCAGAGAGGCACTTTCTCCCAATAGGGACCGGGTAGCCTCTTTTAACTTAGCGATTTTCGAAATCTTTGATAGTTTCCTCAAAAGTGGTTTGAGCATGAGAGGAACAGACCTTAGACCCATGAGCGCTTCTCCGTCAATGAAACATTTCTTCATGCCTGGTGGTTGCCACAAGTACGTGAAAGGCTTCTGTACGTTGGCTCATGGGCCCCTGGTTGGTTTATGTGTTTGCACATCTAGGGTTGGTTCCTTGTTGAATCTAATCCCTTTGTACACTTTTGTGTCCAAGAAAGTGATCTCTGTTTCTTACATCTTAGCGGTGAATTTGATAGTATTTGCCTTTTCCACAATTTTGGCTCTTTATTTTGTCTAGGTTCCATAGGCAGGTGTCTCAATATATCTTTTCCAAAACAGCGGTTCAATTAGCCTGGGTGCCCAGAGACTTTTTATGTGCGGTTTCCGGTTTGGTAAAGCAGTTTAAAGTGACCCGCGTGCAAAGCTTTTTTTCTCGCGGCTTCGCCTCTAGTGACTTCTGCCTTCGGCCAAAGTTCTGTTAGCCTGTAGCGACACCGAAGCATCCCGCCGCACCCGAGAAAAATCCTCTGGTGACCAGGGTGCGGTTCAATACAACTCTGTCTCAATATCTGGTCTTCTATTCTGGCCATTAAGATGTTAGCAAAAGCAACGGCCATCTTTGTTCCCATGGCTGTTCCATCGGTCTGTAGGTAGTTGAAACCGCAAAATTGGAATGAGTTTTCGTTATATAAGATAAAGTATTTCTCATAGATACCTGGTAGGTACCCCGGGAGTTGTGGGGGTATTCCCTGGAATTTTTGGTGGGCTTGAGTCGCCCGGTTCTTAAAATACTAACCCTATTTCACACTACAAAAAAAGTTAATTCCCACACCCGTTTCAGACCAGTCTGTTAAATCCACGCCCATTTTCAGACCTGGTATAGGTAAAATTTAGACTAGAGCTCAAACGAGATTTCTTAAAATCCATTTCGAATTCGCTTATTACTCTTTCTTTCTGATTCATTTGGAGTTGAAACGACAAATACATCTACATCTACATTTATTAAGTTGGTAAAATCTGTTACAGACATGGCGCCAACTATTAAAAGAAACGATTATAAAATATATACAATGCTCGGATAAAAAATTAACAAATAAAATCTGATAATAAATATACAAAAATAAGTGAATCATAATATAAGGCAAAAAGTATGAAAGTAAAAAACGTCTGGTAATTCGTAGCTACAGTAGGTAGGGGAGTAATTTGAGTTAAAGACAGTCAAGGAGTTTGACTCAACTATCAATCCTCGGGTAGCTTTAGCATAGCCTTATGGTCCTAACGTTCATACACTCTCGTAGTTTCCTCGAAAACCATACCCAATCCCCAGTGGAGGATCCAGGGGAGGGGCCCATCCCTCCCCTGATTTTTACGACAAATTTTTTTTTTTTGGAGACAGATCCCCCCTCCCCTTATCTAAGGGTTTGGATGACCAGGCTCCCCCTTATCTCAAGGACTGGATCGGGCACTGATTCCAGACCAAAATGGGCAAAATCTATACCCGTTTAAGACTGAAACGGCGCACAAACCCTACCCTTTGAGGCGGCACATACGTATATGGCTTATATAAGGGAGTACTCCCCCGGGGGTGGGTGGATGGGCTTTCCGTCAATAAAATCTTCGTATGCATACATATGGTGGTTAGGCCTTCTTCGTGTGGTACAAGCTCTGAAGGTTATTATACTTCCTCAGGAGTGCCCGCCGTTAATTTTTAAACCAAGTTTAGGGAGGAGGGAGAAATTGCCCCAAAAAGTAGGGAGGAGGGAGATTTACCGTCCTGTACCTCCCCCCTCAATTAAGACCGCTGACCATGTGAAACGATGAAAAAGATGTGACCAATGATGAAAATAATTAAATATTTTACGCAACTACTAGTATTGGTACTTTGACTAATAAGTCTTCTTTTAATTAGTTTTTCATGTTAAAGCCACACTACGGAAAATGTGTGCGTGCTGTTAAAACAACGCGGATGACCCTGGTCGCACAGGTATTTTGTTATCAGATGTCAGCCCGTCATCAAATCCCCGCATTGGCCAGCCGCGTGGGGTTTTGATATAACTGACTGATGCATTATTGTCAAAATGAGTTAATAAAAACGAAAATTAGACATCAGCTCGAGTATATGAATTTTATCGGTTCTCGTGGCAAAAACAAAATATCTCACTCTCTCACTGGGCTCACTCGTGTAATATTCCCTTTATCACTGGAACATAAAAATTGATGTCTTCTCGCCTCTGTGTAATATCGTTTGTCATATCAGGATTCGACTGTAAAACTGAGATAAGTAGCTGATAGCAATTCTCCTGACTTGTGCGTGCGCTTTTACGTCACATACCATGCAAACTATTCATTGTTGAAAACAATTAACAAGGGTTTTGTTTTTCTTTCACAAACTTAAAGATAGAATCAATATTACGGCACAATATTGTTACTTGTGACAGGACGCACTTGTGATTTCCTCTATAAGTTTGCCTACATTTGACAAAATAAGCGACTTGTAGTAATCGCGAAAAAGGAAGGAGAGAATGCGAATTTGGCGGGAAAAAAATACTTCCGGTCACCGTACTAGACCCATCCGTTGTCACTGCTTATTAAGTCCCTATTGTCGTTAGCTGACAACAGTTCTGTTTGACTTTTGCGTACCCTTTGTACGTCACATACCAAACTATTTATTGTTGAAAACAATTAACAAGAGTTTTGTTTTTCGTTCACCAACTTAAAGATATAAAGAATATTACGGCACAATATTGTTACTTGTGAAGGAACGCACTTGTGATTTCAAAATTCCTTAAACCGACGTGCAACATTGCAAGAACTTTAGCGCGAAGTCAAGAACCTTTCTTTTTAAAAGCACCAAAGTTATCAACAACTTTAAATCGCTTCTTCCTCTCTTCGCGTTGCAAAACGCAGCTGTTTTTTACTGAAGGTTTTGGTGCCTGTAGTTAACCAGGTTAGTACTGTCAGAATCGTGTTGCCTCTAGCTAGAAACAATTATGAAACAAAAAAGACAGGTTTTCCCTCACGAAAAGGGTGTCATTAATTAAAAATGATAAATAAATAAGATGCGTTTTATATCCCGAGTCAGCTAACTTTAACTTATCTGGTCTTTATGACAACGTGTTATTATGACTTTCACGCACATTCCTTCACTTTAAGTGTAGTTTGACATCCTAGGATAGACGTGTTCTCTTAAAGACATCTCCAAGGAAAGATTTTTTTTCTCTATTTGAGGAAAGTTTTATTTCGTAGGGTTTATTCTCTTTATCAAATTAAGGGGTCAATTTGAAAGAAAGATACAGTAGAATACAGTAATAGCCCGCGTATAAGAACCTGAATTTTTCAATTTAGCCTAAATAGGTCCTTATATAAATGGTACTTAAAGCAAATTTAGGCTACCGAGGTTCTTAAGATAGGTTCTTATATTTTCATATGAATTTCATCTGAATATACTCCATATACTATAAATATCATCTGATAATACAGTATAAATCATTTATTTGTACCATAGAGCAATGCCTATAGGCAGTTCAGTGCAGGTACAGCATATGTCCTTAACAAAACATAACAAAGAAACTCGTGTTGATACCAAATTCATAACAAGGTCAAGCAATGAGGAGAAATGAAAAAAAAAATAGATGATGATCTTAATTCAGCA